ACCAATGCCGCATAGAGGGGAAGTATCACCTCCTTGGTTCTATTTGTCATGCATCTGCTGGTGAATGATAAAGTGCAGTTGGCTTTGCTGATGATTTCGTCACATTGTCAACTCATGTTCATCTTGGAGTCCACTATGGCTCCAAGATCCCTTTCTGCTTCTGTGCTGCTGAGAGGGTCACTTCCCAGCCAGTAGGTGTGCTGGATACTTTTGCGCCCTAGGTGCAGCACTCTGCATTTGTCCTTGTTGTACTGCATCCTATTGTGTACTGCCCACTTTTTTAACCTGTTCAGGTCTGCCTGCAATCATTCCCTACCCTCCCAAGTGTGCACTTCACCCCACAATTTAGTATCATTTGTGGACTCCCACAAATATGATCCTTCATTATCTTTTCAAAGACCTTTCCAAGGATGGAGGTGAGACTGACTGGCCTATAATTACTTGGCTCCTCCTTCCTCCCCTTCTTGAAAATAGGGACCATATTGGCCCTTTTTCAGTCCCCCGGGACCTGACCAGAGTGCCACGAGTGCTCAAACAGCTGTGCCAGTGGTTCTGCTATGACACTGTCCAATTCTTTCAGTACTCTCGGATGCAGCTCATTCGGGCCTGCTGACTTGAACACATCCAGTCTATCCAAGTGACTCTGCACCAAGTCGGCGTCAACAGTTGGTAGGCCGGTGTCCCTCTGCCAATCTAAGAACCCATTAGGAGTCTTATCTTGACCCCTGTTCAGGAACACCAAGACAAAAAACTAATTTCATAGGTCAGCCTCACCCCTCCCCTGTCTGTCACTAATTCCTCCTCCTTGTTCAGTAGGGGTCCTATGCTGCCCTGTGCCTGCCTTTTACTCCTTGCATACCTAAAAAAAAGACTTTCTGTTGTCTTTAATTTGTGTTGCCAGCCTCAGCTCTGTAGTTGCTTTGGCCTTTCTAACTGCCTCCCTGCAAGTGCGGGCCAAGTAGGTATACTCTTCCTTGGTAGCTTCCCCCTGCTTCTACCACCTATATGCCTTCTTTTTTGCCCTTAGGCTCCCCTGGATTTCCCTGTTTAGCCAAGGAAGTTTTTTGGCTCCTTTCCCCGTAGGATTTTCTTTGTCCCCAGTGCCTTTCCTTTTACAGCATAAGATAAAAAGCAATATGGAGATAACAAAAACATACAGTGGAGCAAAAGGTAATAGTGAAAGGAATATGATAAGTATAATATGCAGTGGTCA